AGCAACTGCCATGGGATCTAATCTAAAAGTAAACGACCCACGCGAATGTCACAGTGCTGTGACGGGTCAGTGCCCCTCTATGGATATTTCTAACAAATGATCCGTTTAACACGCGTCATTTGTTATAAACACTATTGAAACTCACTGATTCGTATCGTGTAGCATCGTTAGCTCCACACATTATTTTGGCCAAGGAGCTATTGTTATTCAAGTGAAATAACTCCATACACTGCCGCTTGCTATTGGGTCTGGATGTTTCATGAACTGTGCCATTGCACTACGCGATCTTAGTTTTATCCCTTTAAAAGTCAGAGAACCTTAGAGGTACAGCTTTAAAGGCGCCGCAACTAATTGTGCAGAGCTTTGGTACACCAGAAACCTATGCTTATGGGTTCAAATCCCACGTAGCTGGGCTAGTGTTCAAAGTTGCTATAAACTCATTTGTATTTTAAGAGCCTATTCTTTATACGGTTGGACGAAATTCGTCCAATCCACCTTCGAACCCAACCGAATTATGAAGGTTGAATAATCATGAATTTCGCTGGACAGAGTTCTGTGGTTGGACGGTGAAAGTGCCTAGATTTCGCTTTAAAGTACCGTGCCTCAACCAGCATCAGTAACTTAATACTTCTTGCATTTCCAAAGTGCACTACATTCTGTTTTTTTCCGGGGCTGCATGTGCTCAGATATTTTCTTGAAGTCACAAGAGCTCCCATTTTCATCTCAATAAATTCAGCTGTGAGAAAAACATGTAAAGGTTTCTACTTAAAATGTTTGCATTAGTTTGTGTATTCCGATCCCCTCATGTTTGTTATGTCAAGTTAATCCTAATCTAGCCTTCACTCACTAAAGGATTTATAGTGCATCATGCTACTTGCGTCTCATTTCATTAAAAATATGGCTATTAACGACAGAGCGGTAACTAACAAAGAAGGGGCCCCGGCTATTACATTCCTTAACCAGTCGAACTTACTGACTGACTGAGTTTTGGTTTTACGCCGCTTTTAGCAATATTCCAGCAACATCACGGCGGGGGACACCAGAAATGGGCTTCACACATTGTACCCATGTGGGGATTCGAACCCAGGTCTTTGGCGTGACGAGCCAACGCTTTAACCACTAGGCTACCCAACCGCCCCCTAACCAGTCGAAAGATGTGTTGGCATATATTATTAAGCACATTAAAAAGACCTAATAAGTATTGTAAACCTAATATTAGGGCAATTACAGACAAGAAGAGAGTCCCAAAAATATGTCTTGGACGCATTTGTTGTCTATCAGATTATCAGAAGATGGTTAGGTTACAATTTGTTATGAGGCACCATGTCCAGCACTACAGTACTGACTGAGTTTGGTTTTACGCCGCTTTTAGCAATATTCCAGCAAGATCACGGCGAGAGACACCAGAAATGGGCTTCACACATTGTACCCATGTGGGGATTCGAACCCAGGTCTTTGGCGTGACGAGCGAACGCTTTAACCACTAAGCTACCCCAGCGCCCCCTTCCAGCACTACAGTAACATAAACAGGTAAAAGGTGCGATGGGGTGGCCTTGTGGTTAAAGTGTTGGCTCATTAGGCCGAAGCTTCTAAGTCTATTGCAGTCTATTTCTGGTGTCTCCAGCCGCGGCAGATGCAAATCCAGTTGTATGTTTTGAATTGTGACAGCTGTGTAGAAGTAAAGTAAAGAAAAACAGATTTGTTTCCAACACCGTCATGGTCTTTGATATAATTGGTATATGCAGAAAATATACTGGGACACGATCCATAACGTATTCGTAACACTGCGATGTTCGTAATATGATAAGCTACGAAGGCTTTGTAGATCGGGACCCAGTTTCACAATGACCTTGGCGTCATTCTAGGATATTATGGGTGCTTCAATTCATATCTCCTATTCCAGTTTTCTGTTGGTTTCCAAAATGAATTCCAACATAAACTAACGGGCTACGAAGATATCCGGATATTCGTTCCTCATACATGTGAACTTTGGTGCCACGTGTGTTTCGTGATGGGCAAAGAACAGAAATACTAATGGGGCAAAATATTCTTAATCACTCACTAGTCTTCCTGGAAGTCAAAGGAAGGAAAAACATGAACGGTAGCCTTATGGTGAAAGTGTTGACTCGGTACTCTAAAGGATCGGGTTCGTTTTTCTCTATGGCTAATGGGTACAACGTGTAAGGTCCATTTCTGGTGTGACGTCATTCCAACATAACGTCACAATACCTCTGACGTCAACAGTGCTGACCGGATTGCATAAACAATACATTGGTACGCCTGAAGCGATATTTGCACAAATACATAGAGGATATTTTGTTAATGTTGTCAAATATCATGTATATTTTCATCGAGTGGTCTGACAAAGTTGATATGTTCACGAGTGGCTGCTGCGCCACTCGTGAACATATCAACTTTGTCAGACCACTCGATGAAATATACATGTTATATGACATTGTCAGACCACTCGATGAAATATACATTCTATTTGACAACATTAACAAAATATTCTATTTATTATATTTTGATCATTGTTTATAAATGATCGAGACATGGAGTAAACATCTGTATTTTATTACGCATTTTATTATTTCATTATTATTAGTTCCAGGCAAAAGTGATATTTTACTCAGAGAAATGACATGTTATTTTACTCAGTGAAAATACCATTTTTATTTTCACCAATATTTACAGTATTTCACCCTTAAGGAATATAATAAAACAACTCTGTTATTTCTCACCCCCTGGTAATAAACCACTCTCCTACCCAGAGCTTCATGCTGCCACCACAGTACCTCTGCCACGGTCCAGAGAGATGTGACGATTCATCACATCTTACACAGTGCATTGAATATGTTGTATAGAAATTATTACACTAACATGCGAGTAATATTGATTTTACAAAACTCGTGAAATAAGTATGGTTACCCCGCGCTCTCTCTCTCTCTCGGATGCAAGAAATCTTATACTCGTTTCATAAAACAAATATGACACACATACTCGTATAATAAAGTCTAATTATGAACACGGTTATTTTCTGTCTCGTGGGTAATATACGTCAATGCAGCAGCATTGTGTAGGGGTATTGCACTCGATGGGCAGTGTTTGGAATTAGTCACTTTCTAATGAGATGACTATCATATAACAAGTTTCTGCCATCGAGTGGCCTCGCAAAATTGATATTTTCCTGAGTAGCGATGATCATGTGATCAGATAAACACGTCACATGTGTATGTATATTTGTTTACGATTCGCCTCCCCTTCCCCCTCCCGCGGAAGCTCCGGTCATGAATACGTCCCCAGCAACCAACGTTTGTCGTAATCCCGAGAGGACATCGTGCAAACAGGTCGGGTTGTCAGGCGCGGTGACCATGTTGATTTACGTCATCATTTCCCAATAGCTTGGATCGATACCCATGACGTCCGTCAGACTCACTGGATTATCTGGTCGAGACTCGATTATTTACAGACCAACATCTGATAGCGTTAATATTACTGAGAACGGCGTTAAACAACAAACACGATCCCTGAACCATTTCACTGAAAACCACACAGCCTTTGAAACAGATTGAAAGTTCATCCGACATTATTTCACTCAAGTGCTATATCGATTTTTTTCCATTATATTTTTTATAAATGTAGACATCTTATCAATTAAATACGTAACAGACAGATGATGTTATTCAAGTGCGATTTTCATTCAGCTAAAACAATTTTAATGAGAGCTTCAATGTGTATATACAAAATGCATCAATTATTCATCTCATAGAGATGAAGTTGAGTTTATGATAACGTCCTATTAAAGTCACGTTTAGCGTATACTGTTCAGTTATTGATTAACAATAGCTAGTTTAAAACATTGCAGTAATATAATACTGGCCACACCCTGTCCTGAAACTGGCACAGATCCAAGAATCTCTCTCTCTCTCTCTCTAGATATATAGATATATAGATACAGTGTATATAGATATATATACTGTACTGTTCACTATCACCATTATCCACCTGAAGAAGGGGCAAGAACTAGCCCAGTACCGTTGTACTCTCTCTCTCTCTCTCTCTCTCTCTCTCTCTCTCTCTCTCTCTCTCTCTCTCTCTCTCTCTCTCTCTCTCTCTCTCTCTCTCTCTCTCTCTCTCTCTCAGAGTAATATTTTATCACCGTCACGTCAGTAGTCGAGGCTGGAACACAGGTGACATCCTTACCTTCCTGCTTGCTGACAACCCAATTTGGTCATGTGGACAAGACGTGGTCAAGGTCCATGGTTCGAATGCACTATGAAAACACGAAAGTTCGCTACATATCTCCCAGTGGTCGATATTATGATCAACGATGCACGTCCATAAGACACACTATCAATAACGTAACCGTGCCTGACAATCCCATCTATTTCAAATTCTCACCAGAAATCTCGACGGGATGCATATATATTTATTTACCTTATCACCAAGCGACTTCTTTGTGACTTACAAAACATTAGTACATGTACTTGTAAAAAGGTCTTAACGTTTTCCCTGATACTTTAAACCATATAGACATGGTATAATTTTTTTTAACAGAATTGTTTTGTCTATTCTGGGCATAGCCAGGTGGTATGGTGAAACTTTCACGTCTCAAAGTGTTATTATTGCAGCTAGCAGATATTTGCTGGCCTTGTAAGAATATTTGCAGTGAATCAAACTCGTAAAATGCTGTATCGAATTTAGGACAATGCTGGATGTTGCAAACACCAATTTCCTGTTAAGAAGGAAAGGGTGATCAGCTGGTCGAGGTTTAAATCCATGGAAACGTATGAAATCGTGTGAAAGCACTGTCTCCGGTTAACCGTCCAAATTACTGCTAGTGCAACTTTAAAACTGTTACAACTGAAAGCTAAAGCCATTTACCGCTTCATTGGTTTATAGTAAGCCGAGCTGTTGTGCGAGGTAAGCTTTCGGGGTTGAAGAAACCACTACATTCATAAACATAAGTGATGAGGAAATATCCACGGACATGCGCGGTGGACGGACGATCTCGCTCTCATCATGTCGCCATTCCCCGTATACTAGGTACTGCTGCAGGTTCTTTAATATAGGGCAAATATCATATGCGCTCAAAAATCAATCGACAGGAGATCTCTGTAGCGAAGGCATTGCGAGTGTCCGCGGCCCGATTACATGCCGTTGCCGATTTCCCATGTTGCACTGCTCGCGACCTTTCTAATTAATATTTACATATGTCGATTCTCCTGAACAGTGCAGCTCAGACGATAGCGCTAGCCCGCTCTGGAACTCTACTCTAGACCCGGACGAGGTGTGTGTTGTGCCCCATCGGACGAGATATCGTCCTCGATGATGTTTTGGGGCTAGATTCCGTTAGACAGGGTGAAATATCTGTCGTCATTGATACTAAACAGTCGGATTTTCTGTCCAGTCGCTTCGTTGGCCTAGCGAGCTCATCAAAATGGCGGATTTGGAAGCAGTTCTGGCCGATGTTAGCTATCTCATGGCGATGGAGAAGAGCAAGTCGACTCCTGCAGCCAGAGCAAGCAAGAAGATTGTTCTTCCAGAGCCAAGGTTTGTCTTTTTCCCCCGTTTCAACCATTTCCGGACAAATGTCGAGTGTGTGTATTCGGATGACAAACAGGTTCCGTTTCAATGAAAACGATTATGGAGTAATATTTACTCGAAATGAAATTCGATTATTTTGTTATTTTCAGCGTTCGGAGCGTCATGCATAAGCATCTCACCAAAATGAATGAAGTCACATTTGACAAAATATTCAACCAAAAATTAGGTGAGTAGACGATTGATTTGTTGTTGCACGATATTGAGACATTCCCTCGCCCGATCGCATGAAGATCGAAACCAGAAACACGGGGCATCATCACACACAGTCTCATATGCACGACAGATAACATGGCGAATGGGCAGTGATTTTATTATTCCCCGTGTTATTTATAGTAGGATTTTTGCGTAGATGTAAACAAAACGACGAGGGATTGTGCGGAAGTGATGCACGGCTTGTTGCTATCGCCTAGCGTTCTATTCTATACCCCTGTATTGCCTCATCTACAGAATGAATTATGTATGTGCTGCTTTATTATGATAAGAGAGCTTTTTGGCTGACTTTGCCAGCGGTTTGACTGTTAAAATGCTTACATTTTATATATTTAACCAGTCATCTCCATTTTACAATGCAAAGGCCACATTACTAAATGCTGTATGTCAAAAGGTATGTCGAGAAGATTGTGAAAACATTTGCATAACTTCTGTCGGTTAAAATCACACTCATTATTGGTATGGATTAAAACATATTTGGTCATGATTATGTGGAAGTATTAATAATTGAATTGCCCAACAATGAAGGTTGGAAATTGGCCCAGTGACCGGTTGTCAGGCACTGGCACAAACAGTTAGCCTATGGATGGTTAAGCATTATGTATTGGTGCTGTGGGTCGTCAGTAACTGCACTAAGCTTCTTTGTATTCTGAAAGCTTGCATATTCACTGACACTAGTGACAAGGTTAGGCACCACCTCTAGTCTGAGTCAAAGAATCAAGGGTGTAGCCCTCTCATTCCAAAATCTAGTTACTGTATATTATTGTTTAACAGACTTGGGGACCACTGATTTAAGTTTGTTATGGCAGTAGTTCTTTATAACAAACAATTCGACTATAAAATACAACAAATGGTCAATAACAATATGATAAATAACAGTTATATCTGTCATTTCATTATAATCTTGGTCCATATGAACTTAGTACAATGCATTTTACATGTTTCTCAGAAATGAGCTGTGGAACCATGGCTAAATAATAAATGATCTTAATTCCAAACTTACAAATGAATCTTGCACTTTTCCATCTTGTAAGTATATAAGTCTGACCATCCAATCCACATGTTCTTAAAGTGGTCATAGGTGGGGACTTACATTAGTACCCAGAATATCCCAGTGTCGAGATGCAAGTCAGTACGACATTAGATTAAGATGTCACTTGCATGCCTTCTTACTAGTGAGCGCCTCTTGTGAAAAGTTCATTGATATTGTCAATGACACTCTCACTACTAGCACATAATTCACAGCTGGAGTACCCAGAGGTTCAGGTTCTTGCCCATCACAATGAAGATCCAGGTTCTATTCCTCAAATGGTTACAATATATGAAACTCAAGTGTTGTTATCTGCTGTAACATCTCTAAAAGTAATAAGAAAAGCCTCAGTGGTTTGTCTGATCCAGACTTTTGTACTTTTAACCTGTTTAACTTGGCTTATTGTGTGTAATAACTCCTTACAATGTCAATTACAGTATAGTCTGGTCCACACTTGATTGTTTATAAGCTGTCATCTTATGGTTCATATATATACGTTACTGTCTGATAATGATTAGACATAACAGAGATTCAGATAAGATTTAGCTAATGTGGGTACTGTACTCACTGTATTTTTTTGGAGTGGGTATTATGAATGTTGAGTGGGTATTTCATTTTCCGTTACCCACTGCTTTCAAATATGTGCTTATTTCAGTCATTTTACACACCTAAGTATTGTGTCATTAAGTAAGTTTACTAAGCAGGTATGTTCTGCCTTATGTCATACTTAATCAAAACCAACTTAAATATAAGGGAAATGATTTCATAAAAAATCACTAATCCTATACTGGCAGTACAACACTTGTCCTATACTAACAGTACTACTTGATAGCAATCAAAGTCTTTTTCATTACGCAAGCAATTTTTATAAGTATATTCCGTACGCATTTGTTTTAAACTCTTTGCGTATCTAACAGTTTAAATGCGTAATTGGTACGCAACAATTATTTTTCAATGCGTAATTGGAAAATTTCTATGTGTATTTTACCCGGGTACGCAGCTTATCTGGTCCTCTGCATAATAAACCAGAAGGTATAGTGTCATTATTTCATGAATCAGTTCTATTATTTTGAAACAACTTAGCTAATATTTCCCATTTAGTCATCTGCATTTCAGTATAATGGGCCAACAAAAGTACATGCCACTGCCTTAGACTTTCTAAGGGGTAATAATGAAAATAGAAGCCCATGTCTTTTGTGATCAGTGATAGTGATCTCATGATATGAGACTGGGTGAGAGTGACCTCCCTTTCTAACAAATTTCTTCCTTGTGTAGTTGTTTTGTTTTTGCTTCCCTCAGTGACAGTGCACAATCCCAAACTATGTGTGTCTTCAACACCAAGCACATGGGTCATAGTTAGATAAGGTGAAGTGGGGTTTAATTCAAGATTATTGCCCTTTCGTAGTGAACATATGTGTCTGGTTGTACTAGTCCAGACTGTTGCAGGTTCAATTAAGCAAACCAAGACAAATGTTACTTTTGTAAGGTTAGCTCCAAAACAGGCAGGAGTGGATACCCAAACACCCCCTCCCCCTACTACTCAATATATTGACTTGGAGTAAGGCAGTACTTATCCCCTTGTCAGGTACCTGGCAGGGTAGTGTTCTTTCACTAAGGAGTGAGTAAGTGAATTTAGTTTTTTGCCGCTTTTAGCAGTATTGCAATAATAGGGCGGTGGGGACACCATAAATGGGATTCATACTTTGTAGCCATGTGAGGAATTGAACCTGGGTCTTAGGCATGACGAGCGAGTGCTTTAACCACAAGGCTACCCCACCCCCCTTCCTTTAAGGAAACCTTGTAACCAAGCATATAGTTGACTTAATGTAGCAGTTTATCATTGCTCTCCATAGGCAGGGAGAATATCACGTTACAGAATGAACAATCAATGACTCATATTGTTAGTTGTATTAATGAAATATAAAAAATGTTGATCAACATAACCAAACTTTAAATGAAAAATGTTTCCGTTTTGTATCTTCATATTCTGCTAAGACAGCATGGCATCAATATTAGATTGCATTTGTCAGTGAACTTTAGTTTTTAGTTTCTTTTAAATGATTGTATTGCAAGGAAAGTGACAAAATATGAATGAAGTATATTAAAAAAATAATTTGTCAGACATCACATGTATCATATGCATCATACTTGTGGTGTGCATGGGTACTAGACTAACAACTAGTCTCTGAAATGAACATATTTTACTGAAAAAAGTTCATAGTAAAAGAAATAATATATATAATGAAAAGGAGCCCTGAGACTTGCCACATTTTCTAGACTTGCGTGGGCTTTCTTGGATATATTTGCTTCAGGGTCTGTACGACAGACTACATGGGTACCTCAGTTAGCACAGTATTGCAATTACTATGCTTACTCTCTGAAAGTATAAAATGTAGGTATAAACAAATACTTACAAGGAGCCCCAGTGAGATTCCTTTTCCATTGGAAAATCTAGACTTGCTTTATTCAGGGCTAAGGGGAAGGGAGAATAATGCTGTTCAGAGACAATAGACAGACTGCTGTGCTGCATGGTTGTCTCCCCTTGAAACCTGCTAGGATCAGATGATCCTGAGTTTGTATGTATTATATCCAAACCAACTTACAGGCTTCAACTGTGTGATTCAGTTTCTGACCTGCTCAAAGTAACATGAAACAGACAGGTTCACTGTCCATGTGCACTATTGTAGGAGGATGTAGTTTACAGCTGTTGTGTGTCTGTTGCTTCATTGTTCCAGATGGTTGGTACAGATGACTTCAGGGAAGTTGTACCCTAAAGGAAAGTGAAATTGATGTCAATCTTTGTTAGAAACTATGAGTGCTGAATTCCTGGAGAGCTTTTTAAAATTCAAATTAGTTTATGTTAGTGCTGGAACGCTTGATCGAATAGTTGATCAGCCGATCAATCTAGCTTACGGCAGTGATTATCGGTGTGCTCAGGGAACTAATTGATATTCATAAAAAATGAAACATGAAGTTCAACTTGAGAAAGTAAGTGTCTTATTGTTATGGGTTGACATGTCATCGGTTCCCAATTGCGCAGATCGATGCTCATGCTGTTGATCACTGGATTGTCTGGTCCAGTCTCGGATTATTTACAGACCCCCGCCATATAGCTGTAATATTGCTGAGTGCGGCGTAAAACAAAACTCACTCACTCACTTATTATGTTTATCAAAGCAAGACATAAACAACTGATGCAAGACATAAACAACTGATGCAGATTTCAGACTCTTAAAACTGCAATGTAAACAAAATACTTGTGTGCTAATCGATACTCCTTCTAAAATTTGGGAATATATTATATTAATGGTTGATCCTGAGGCTGAATAAATAACATGAGTACAAATAATCTCTGTACATAATCAAATTGTCTGGTGCAACAATTGTGTCACAATTTGATCATGATTCCTGTTGTAACCCTGTAACAACATCAACATATTCTACACAGATGTTGAACCTACACTGCATTGGTATAAGCTAATCGTTCTCTTTAGGAGTGATGAATTAGCGTGTAACGATCAGCTGTATGTATCTCTGTGTACCTTGGTTGTATATTACAAGTAATTTGTCAAGCATGACAGGTTTTCAATAAACTGAGATGTGCTGATATCACTGTTAACACCCAGTGCCAGAGAAACAGTTCGTCAAATCTATAGCTGTTATGTGTACATTGTTCATGTATGTATCAAATAGTCACGTCAAGATAACAGATAGTTGCTAGTTACAACCATGTGTTTGTTTCAACACACAGAATCACTTTGGGAAGCATGTGATGTTTTGATAGTGTCTTAGTCCCTGACGGTTTCCTTCATGACACTTCCTTGACCTTGATGATAATGTTATGTGTATATACAGTTTTACTGGCACTTCCTGGTTATTTTAAACCAAAAGTCACTGTGTTCTTTAATCTGATTGGTTGAAAAAAC